AATAAAATGTGAAACATGAAAAATAAAACTTTAGTCAATCCTTAGTCTTCTCTCCCAATCTTATAGCATACAAGTTATCCAACTTTGAAACAACCAGTTCTTTGCACCCTTCCAAACCTTAACATTCAGGCTCTGTGCTCTGCATTTTCCATGCCTAGGCACAGTCAGCACACTCACACCCACATTTAGGTTCACTGCCCTGCTTTATGCCCAACCCAGTAACCCCTGCTTTCCTCAAGAGTTCTTGGTAACTCTACCCATTTCCCATTTGTTAGATCTGGTTCAACAGTATCTTTTCGTCCCTGTATAGTAAACTGTCTATGACAAATGACAATTTTACTGCTCCCCCCTTAAAATTTCACCTGCTAATCAACAAATCACCAACTCCCGCTGGTCACACTCCTCTTTCCACTCCTTACTCTGATCTCCTGTGAACCCTTCTTTCTTAGAACTTCTCTCAGTCATGATGGTCCCTGACCCTATCTTCATCCTTCAGGTCTGCAGACTGCCTGTCTGTCAGGCACTTCATTATATGTATACTGTGATGGTTTCCAAATTCACATTTAAACCCCCGTATCTTCTTACCAGCACAGATGCAAATTTTCAACCAGACACTAAACACTTTATAGACTTCAGAAATCCAACTTACCCCAAACTCAGCTCAGTTCTCTGGGGGGGATGAAGGGAGGGAGGGGACAGGTTTCTCCTCAGGTACCCTTTGGTTACTGTCACTTTCCCTTTCAGTCATGTGAGCCTCACTGAACTGGTGACAAGCAGCACCTCCTCAAGGCCTCCCAGGAGCTCTGGGCAAACACCCTCGCAACGTGTCTGAAATCAGCTCCAGGCGGCAGCATTTCCCTCAGGCAGACAGCACTCCCCTCCTCTGTTAACCACCTGAGAACCCTGCCCTGGTGCACTGAGACTCCTGGAGCCGAGGTCATGCAACAGCCTTGGATACCTTTGGCTCTGCAATTATGAGACCAGTGTACATTTCCATCCTCTATCAGTCTAAGAGCTTCTTATGTCATGGCTGTCATATATATGCATGCAAATAAATTTACATTTGTTGGATATATGTATTTATACACACCGGCAACTGCTGCAAATTTCAAGAAAAATGTAATAAACAAACCTGTTCTGCATCACAACTGAAAGAGAAAATATTAAGGAAGACACAAACACAGTGAAGGATGGAGCTGAGTGCTTTGTGGAACAGAGGCGAGAGGGTCGGGGGAGGAAGGATGGCTGGGGCAGTGGGAATTCTGGCCGGAGGCATTCCTCCAACAGATATGTATCTCTGAAAGACATGAGCTTAGGGACCATTCCTCTTCTCTCCCAGCAATTTGGCTAGTGCTTGGCTCATGACAGACTCAACAGATGCTTGCTAAGCATTTCTTGATGTAATGCATTCATCATTAACATGCAAATATTTCCATGTTGTTTTTATACCTTTTCACTTCTTGGACTTATGAATTATATACTTTCTATTCAAACCAGATAGAGGGCATTCAGGAAGCAGATGGGATGAGCCAGCGAGGTGGGCTGTAACCAAGGCCATGTAACTGAGTAGCTGGGACAAGAGCTCAAAATTAACTAATTATAGCGATAGCTCAGAATTTTTTTTTTTTTTTACAGAAGTTAGCTTCAAACAGCATTAACACTCTAACCAAGTTATTTTTTGGATTTTTTTGACCTTTGTACCCAGCTCCAATTACTTCTGAAATCCTATATTTCATATTTCTTAAAGGTTTTAGAACTGCTGAAGAGATTTTTATAAATCGCAGTTATTTTCTTGAATGTCAAATTAACTTAATGTAGTGTTTTCTTTCAGTCTTAAAATCTACTTCTAAAACTTGGATTACTGACAATGCCTACTTTAATCCAATTGAATTTCCTTCATTTTAGATTATTGTACTTCAGGGTTCTCGGGCTTCTTAAAGTAACAGATTCTTTTTCCCACCTCTATTCAAAGTTGACCATGTCAGTAGTTTATTTTACAGAGAAGATGTTCAAATTGCCGTGAATGTCCAGGATACCCTAGTCTTGTTCTTAGCCAAAAATACACAGAGCTGCTATGTGAAATACTTCTAAAATGAGAAGTGGCACGGACATGTTGTGTTGCAGAAATGGTAAAATCCCAGCAGGAAGAACAGCAAGGGACAAACTTGCTTCTTCCTCAGAGTAGAGGAACCGACACCAATGTGCTGCATTGCAAATGGGCATTCTGGACTAACACTCCGTACACGGACTCCTCAGACATCAGAGCGCCTCCTGGGCACCGGGCTCACTGGGCTCTGCAAACTCACATGTCTGAGACAAAAGTCCAGCCTTGAACATTTGCAATTCATACATTTTTTTCACAAACACATTAAGCATGTAAGCTGGGGAGGGAGAAGAGGGAATCCCAGAGCTTATGGAATTATTATCATAAAACTAAAAATAAAATAGAGGGGGAGAAAAAGAAAATGCTTCTTTCCATGTTTCTAATGATCAGGCCCTGTGTCACCCCTCTGTTGCTGCCACTACCTCCCCAGCACAGGCCTCTGAAAGGCAGACATTCACTACTTGCTTACCTCACAGCACAAATAATCCCTCAGGTTGTTTCCAGGATATGAGCAGGTACCTTTGCAGTAGAGAATTTGGGGGAAAGTCCATGTCTCTTATGAACTATGGAGCATTTACTCCTTGTTGGACAAATTAACAATCTACACAATCTCCCATCAAACATCTGGAAACGGGCCTGGCATAGTACCCTAGTGGCTCAAGTCCTCACCTTGAATGTGCCAGGATCCCATATGGACACTGGTTCTAATCCTGGCAGCCCTGCTTCCCATCCAGCTCCCTGCCTGTGGTCTGGGAAAGCAGTTGAGGATGACCCAAAGCCGTCCCTTCTTTGATACTAACAGGGACCGCGTCATCATGCACCATGTGTACCATGTCTATCAAAGGTCAATTTACATCATCTTAAATGTGTTTTTAACCATAAACTTTAACCTCTTTTTCTATCTAACCATATAATGCATATATATTCCTGTATGTAAAATCAGATAATGTAAGTTCTACTCTTCTCCAGTAGATCACAGCTCCTAAGTCCCACTGAATCACTCCTCTTCAAAAGCCCTTCTGCTATACCCAGATCTTCTAGTTCTCCCAGTCAAATGTTTGAAATTTATTCAAGGCACTAACTAAACCATTCGTTGAAATGAATGCCAGATACATAATCATCTGCATGCAGGGCGAGCAGGAAACTCCCAAGCATTGGCTGACCAGCAGGCGAGAGCACCCACATCCTCCACCTCCTCCTGTGCTACTGCTGGTTTGGAAGTTCTGCCTTTCCCCAATAAAACTTACCACAAGCGGTACTTGAGTCTCACCCTGAATCCCGGAACATTACAGACTGTAATACCCAGAGGAGTTTCGACAGCACTCAGAGTCAGCACATCTCTCCCTTTCTAATCTGCAACACATCCTTTCCAGTTCCTCAAACCAGATTGGCAAGATCATCTCACAAAGGTCCACCAACACCACAAGTTCCCTCACAAACATGGTGAGCTGCAAAATGTTACGCCAGAAAAAACAAAGAGTATGTCTTGTATTAACCCGTTTTTTTTAGGCAGTTTAGACGAACTGTGTGAGAGAACAGGGTGCTGGAAGCTAGGGCTAGGATCTGAGTGCAGAACTGCACAGGGGAACTTTATAGGATGATGTAAAAGTTACTGCTGCTATCACACCTCAATTGAGACTTACACACCTAACAAGACTCACCTCACCTCACTACAGAATTAAAATAGGTGCCAATGTGGTATTCTTGCTAAAAATGTAAAATCTTGAATTAATGCTAAGACAAAAATTACACAAATCTAAACAGAAAGACTTCCAACAAAAAAGCTGAGCAATACTTTTCAAAAATACCAAGGTCAGGATGGGCATTTAGCCCAGAAACTAAGGTGCCTACATCTGACCGTTCCTAGGTTTGATACCCAGCTCTGCCACCTGACTCCACCAGATTCCTGCTACTGCGGATCTGGAAGACACTGACAGCTTAAGTAACGGGATTCTTGCCAGCCATGTGGGATACCTAGACTGAGGTCCTGGCTCCTGGCCTCGCTGCCAGCATTTGGGGAGTGAACCTGTAGATGGGGGAGGGAAGGTGGAACATACAGTGTGCTCACACCCGCTCTTAGGCTCTCTCTCCCCACCTTCTCAAGTAAGTAAAAGAAACAAAGTCACAGTCAAAATGTAAGGAAAGACTGAAGAATTGTCATAACTGGGAGAGAATACAATGTGGGGTTCTAGAACAGAAAAAGGGCATTAGTGGGAAAAACTAGCAGAATCTGAATAAAGTCTGTAGTTTCAATAATTATGTTTGTCATACTAATTTCTTAGTTTTATTAGCTGTATCATGCCTATTTAAGCTTTTAATATTAGGTGAAACTGAATGAAGGATATATGGAAACTCCTATACCATCTTTGCAACTTCTTCAAATCTAAAATAATATGCATATAGTTTTAAATGGGTGCATTTTGTTGTATATAAATTCTAACTCACTAGAGTTGATTTAAAGTTAAAACAAAAATACACTAGAATTACTAAGAAATTCCCTTACCTCTAGCCGGACCTTCCTGTTAAACTCATTAAATATTTATATCAAGAATAAGATTAACTATAAGAAAAATTTAACTTCTTATAGGGCAAACCCATAGTATTCCTCACCTGAAGAATCACAAATTCTAGCAAGGTTATTAATTAAAAACATCAAGATTACTTTCCTTGGGATCACGTTGATACTAACAAGAGAGTCCTTGTACATTTAAGTCACAATAATTAGATTTCAAAAATAATTAGATTTCTGCAGTAAGAAATACTTAGCATCTGTGTCTCTCACACCTCTTATACAGAAGAATTACACTTGAACTGCAAAAATGCTATCATTTCACTTACTATTACTCAAACAGACATGGGCAAGAAAAACAGAAAAATCAAAACACTTATGGCATACCTCCTCTGTTTCCATTTTCTTCATCCTACAAGATAAAAAAAATCCATTTTGAATACACATTTGTAAACTCCTGTCAATTCACAGCAAGGCTCAATTTATTTCACACTGACCTCCCGGAGGTAGGCCGATTAAAATCTCACTGGCACCACCTTAAGGCAAGGGGGGTGGAGTTTTCATCGGCAGAAATGAGAAGGTTGTGGTGAGGTCCCATTTCGGCAGCTTTGGGGACCCACAGTGTGAGATGCTAACACAGATACACAAATGAAGCAGTCAGAAAGACAGTGGACAGACAAACTAGAACTTGGGAGAGGCGGGTCATCCTCTACTGTGTTTATAGGTGCCTTGAGGCCCTGATTCATGCATATTCATAGACTGGTTCCAAGCTGCTACAGATTAAGGCTCTTACGCTCCACACTAAGGTTTGTTTGTCTACCTACTATATTTTGCTGTTACCAGGCTATCCAGTACCTGACTCCACCTAAGAAATTAGAACAGCAGTTTTTTTTTTTTTTTTAAGATTTGTTTGTATATTTGCCTTTCCAATAAAAACAGAGAGGAGGAGAAACAGAGAGGAAGATCTTCCATCCGATGATTCACTCCCCAAGTGAGCGCAACAGCCGATGCTATGCCGATCCGAAGCCAGGAGCCAAGAACTTCCTCTAGGTCTCCCACACGGGTGCAGGGTCCCAAAGCTCTGGCCTGTCCTCGACTGCTTTCCCAGGCCACAGGCAGGGAGCTAGCTGGATGGGAAGTCGGGTCACTGGGATTAGAACCGGCACCCACATGGGATCCCAACACATTCAAGGTGAGGACTTGAGCTGCTAGGCTACCGTGCCAGGCCCTAGAACAGCAATCTTTAAGGAGTGGCACAAAAAGACCCCCTTCCAACATCTCTTCCAGATGGAAGCTCCCTTGCACTGCAGAAAGGGAAACAGTGAAGGCTAATAATTTCTTACATAATTTTTGACCTTTGTTTTGGCTATGTAAATGTTGCTTCCTTCTCTCTCTGGTCATAAGCTCTGCTCTTGGACTAGTCAGTTTGCCAGCAAAGGGACACAATGAAGACCTTGTTGCATCCATTGTGCATTTTCTAGAAGCTACACAATACCAACATTTAAAAAAATCATTTTGAAGTGAACTAATGAAATGTCATAACTTAAATAAAAAACATTCAGTATGTATTTTCCAGATAAAAACTGGTAAGGCAAGAACATCGACACAAAACAACAGCAAGGACAGATGGAACTTCCTGAGCAATTACCACAGGTGCATATCAACTCTAGTGCTGTGTTCTCATGTGTAGTCTACGTCATTTGCTCATTGCATGGTCAGGAGGAATGTTCCATCACTGCCTGGCAGGTCATGTATTAAAGGTCACCAAGCCAAGGCAGGCAGAGCCTGGACTCAACTCGAGGCTCACTGGACTCCAGCGACCTTGAGGCCAGCAAAGACTCCAGAGCACCACACGGCAAAAATATCTTCCAAGAGCAATGTATTTTTAATCTGTGTTTGGTAACCTTACAAAAATTATGCTACCTATTTGCTCAGCAAAACTTCTATTCAAAACAAAATAGAAATAAAAGCCAAAAAAATATTCAACCCCGATATGTTCTTTCACATGTGGTCCATTATATAAATTACCCTATTTTAGACCTTCTAAGATCAAGCTGATTCCTGGGAAATGTAGTCAGTAGTTCTAAAAATTCTGGGAAATCCAAACTTGTAAATTGCAACTCCAAACATGGCAGTTATTTATAATCCCTGAGAACTAATAAGTACCCTATGGGGTTGCCACTGTGGGGGTAAGTGGGTTAAGCCAACACCTGCAGTGCCAGCATTCAATACAGGCACTGATGTGAGTCTGGGATGCTGCACTTCCAATCCAGCTCCCTGCTAATGCATCTGAAAAGCAGCTGGAAGATATCCCAAGTGCTTGGAACCCTGACTCAACTTGGGAGACCTGGAAGCACCTCCTGACACCTGGATTCAGTCTGGCCCAACCCTTACTGTTGCAGCCATTTGGGAATTAAACTAGTAGATGAAAGCTCACTTCCTGTCTCTCTAGCTCTGCCTTTCAAAAAAAAAAAAAAAACAGAGTTAAAACTATTTACTTGAAAAAGATTATCCTCTAAGATATTTTATTGGAGAGACATATTTTGTAAATAAAAATATTTATTATTTTTATTTATATGGCTATGTTCAGATCCCAGGTCTACTGCTTACCCATTACAGGACTGAAATCCATTTACACAATCTGACAGATGGATCAATAGCATCACCTGCTCCACGGGGTTTGGGAATGGAGACAAAGAATGGCTGCAGGGCCAGCTCCCAGTTGTTAACTGCCCCGTCACCCCCTTCAGACCGCCCTGCAGAAGCACAGCAGTGTCACCCATGTTGAAGGAAGCCACATTTGTAACTCAGATGTGGCATCTTGTCACCTGAGAACCAGGCAGCATTCCAGTCTTACTCCTCTGCGTAACCGTCACAATAGCTCAATGAGTCCACAGAATTCTCTTGTCCAGAAACTCACTATCTTCCTAGATGGTGTGACATCAGTTACACTGCAGAAAATGCAGGAGTCTTTGAAGAAAGGGAGCTTAACAGCAGCCTGACCTTTCACCTAAGCTGTTGTTCTAGAAGACAGAAAAATATCTAAAGGGGATATACTAAATGTCAGCTTAATACTTCTTTCAGAAACAGAAAAACCACAGGCGGGAAGGGTGACAGGACGACTACAAGGAGACAGGGTGGGCTGGTGTTATTCCTGCAGTCACTGGACTTTTCATTCTTACCTTATATGAAAACTGAACTGCGGACTCTGGGGGGTAGACAATAAAATGCCTCAGTGTGAAGCCAAAGCCTTGAGAAGTTCTTTTCAGCGTGACCGTCTTGGGACCTGGCCAGAACGCTTCATCTTCGGACGGTGATACAGTTTCACTTTGCTCTTTCCCATCCTGATTTTTTGATACCTAAAGTGAAAGATATTTAAAAGGTAACTATATGTTACACAGATCAATTCCTCACTTAGAAAAAAAATGCATGTAAAAATATAATATCTGAGTGCAAACAGGGACATTTAATGGAGAAAATGAACTCTTATAATATGTGAATTATGTTTTATAACTATTCATGCAGTCATCAAAAATGAGTTTTTATAGAAAATGATGATGCTATGATTATTTCATCAGCAGCAAGAAAGAACATTGGAAACTAAAGCTACAATGGCTAAAATTAAAATGGCAAAAGAATGAATGAATGATAATTACAGAGAAACCTCATGGCGCCCTATGAGGAGCAAGAAACAAACCAGGAAGGGACAAGGAACAATAACGGAAGAAGTCCAATCACTCATCATGTAGTCCAAAAGAAACAACAGGGCTTAGAAAATAACAGGAGAGTGGGCCTGCCCTGGTGGCCTAGCAGCTCAAGTCCTCGCCTTGCACAACCAGGATCCCATACGGGCACAGGTTCTAACCCTAGCGGCTCAGCTTCCCATCCAGCTCCCTGCTTGTGGCCTGGGAAAGCAGTCGAGGACGGCCCAAAGCCCTGGGACTCTGTACCCGTGTGGGAGACCTAGGGGAAGAGGCTCCTGGCTTCAAATCGGTTCAACTCTGACTGTTGCGGCCGCTTGGGGAGTGAATCAGCAGAAAGAAAATCTTTTTCTCCATCTCTCCTCATCTCCGTATGTCTGACTTTCCAATAAAAATAAATTTTTTAAAAGAAGAAGAAAATAACAGGAGAGGCCTTGGGGTTCTGAGCAGATTCAGCAAACAGGCTCCCTGGACTTGGAGTTGTCGGATCTTTCACTTCCATCCTTCGCCTGGTCCCAACTGAAACCCCTTTGCAAACTCAAATCAAAGATTCAACTAGGATCACCGCCTACTGCTTTTCAATTCAGCCCTTCTCACATCCCAACCGTAAAAAATTCTTCCATCTAGGCCTGATACAACCACCCTGTCCTTGGCCCTCACCACCCGCAGCTCCCCTTCCTCACAAGCCAGCTTCAGCTCACTCTATTGCTCTCATCTCCTCAGCTGCTTGCCAAAATCTAATTCATCCTCACTTTCTCTCCCCAGATAGGGTTGCAGCGATCCTGTTGATCACATCATTCCCATCTGCATACACACATTTGTCATTTCTTGCATCTTAATGACAAAAAAAAAAAAGCCTCTCAACCACATAGCCCTTGCCAGCTGCTGTCTTAATCTGCTTTTCTGTAGAGCAAAACTCCTAAAAATCTGCCTATACTTGCTGTCTCAAACGCTCATGCTCCCCATTTTTCTCCTGTGGCTTCCACAGTAGTAATATGAATGGCCAATCTCCATCTCTTATTTTATCTAACCTATCTGTTAATTGAGGGGTCACATTCTCCTTTTTGAAAAAATATGCACCTGACACCTCGCATGCATCTCCCTCCCAGGCTGCTCTTGCCAGGATCCCTACCCCTGCTCAATCTGTTAAATGGCTCAGTCCATGAACTTCTCCAGCTATACTCTGGGTTTTGGTGATGGTGTTCAGTCCCATGTATTAAATACCAGCTATACGACAATGAGTCCCATGCATTTATCTCTAGTCCATATATACCCCCAATAACAAGTATCCCAAACTTCACATCTGCATTGAATGGATGTTTGTATTAAAAAGAAATTTTTCAAATTGTGACTATTAAGTTCATTCCATCATTTCTTAAAGTGTCACCTGTATCAAGTGTGACAAATATTTGAACATTCTTCCATGTTTTATTATCTCCCTCTGGTGACTTGCTTCATATAAAGAAGGAATGACAATTACATAGTAACAATGCCCACCCAAACCTACAGTCTGGGTAGCCATGAGAATGAAAACTAACATACAATACACACAAATCCACGTTTTTTTTTTTTTTTTAAACAGTAGCAACAAGCTACTGGAAAGGAAAGATCTTCAAAAATCACTTAAAATGGTAACAAAATATAAAATACAAGTAAATCTGACAAATGATTTCCAAGGCTTCTAATCCAAAATTCAACCACTAAGAGGTCATAAAGACGATCTAAATGAACAGGAGAAAGGCACCAAGTCAGGGGTTCTGGGGGCCCTGTAGTGCGAGGTCAACGCTCCCCAAATTCACTTACAGACTCAATGTAATCCTCATCAAATCCCTCAAGATTTTGGTGAGAAGTTGCCACACTATTTCTAAAACTCAATTTACCACACAAAGAACCCAAAAAGTCACAAATTATAAAATAATAATGAGGTTGGACAATTTATACTACAGCTCTTTAGGACATAAACTACAGCAACCAAGACAGTGTAGTGTTGATTTTGTTTTGTGGCTCTTCATTTAAGGGGATGTATATAGTAGCTGTGTAATGGTGACTGTCATATCTAGTAACATGTCATTTCACTTCATGGCACTGTAAATTTCTATTTTTCCTTCTATCGTTGATTTTGTATTATGACTTTTCATTTGAGGGGATGTACAGTAGCTGTGAAATGCAGACTAACATGTCCAGATGTGAGGATACAATGTAGTATGCATTTCTACTTCCAGCAAAGATGGACTTACAATGAAACTGTTTACTATATCTTGACAACAGGATGCTGGACTCTCTGCTATTGTCCATGCCCGCAATTATGGACATATGACTGTGTATGAAGAACTAGACTTTAGTAAAGATACAGAAGAAATACACGGGGAGGGGGAGATTGGGGCTGGGATAAGGGAAATAACAGGAGCCTATGGAACTGTATGATAAAATGATAATAATAATAATAAAATCTAAAAAAAAAAAAAAAGACAGTATAGTGTTGGGATCAAGACAGCCAGATGGACTCATAGAAAAGAATAGAGTCCAACTACAGACCCGTGACAATCTGACACAGGCATTCTACGCCTGTACATTGATTCAGGAGAGGGATGCATATGTCAATATTGCACAAGCACAATGCAAACACTTGTGAACACAGTCTGGAACAGCTGGCTATTCATATGCAAGAAAAGAACTTTGATTCACAGCTCACATCACAAACAAGCATTAACTCAAATGACTACAGACTTAACTACAAATCCCAACATTATAAACTTGTGAAGGAATGCACAGGAGAAAATGTTTACGAACTTAGGATAAGCTGTGATTTCTTACTAAAGATGAAGAGTCATTACAACGACAAAACATGGAATGGAAGTTTTTGCAAATCTCCATGTCTCTCAAAGATCTCATATCTAGAATATATCAAAACTCAGCCATTGTGTAAAAAAAATTAGGCAAAAGCTGCAAGCAATTTATCAATAGCTTCTCTGGCCATTAAGCAGGTGTCAATATGGAAACATACATGAAAACCATAGTGCAATGTCAGTACACATCTATTAAGGGTGCTAACCCACCACAAAAAGTGGGGCCTGCGATGTGAAGCTACTGCAACTCTCAGGCACTACCAGACGTGTTGTGCATAAATGTCCATAGCCAATTTGCTATACTATCAACTAGAAAATACTCCGAACATTCATCAACTGATGAATAAATGGTGACACAGCCAAAGAGTAGAACAATATTAGCAATTACATGAAATGGACTATTGATCCATGCAGCAGTACGATAACTTTGCTCAGGTCAAGAACCCGAGGGGAAATAGTATATATTGTATGATTCCATTTACATAAAATCCTGGAAAAACTGCAATAACTAACCTGATCTATACTAACTAAAAGAGATTAGGGGATACCTTGAACAGACGGAGGGAGGGCAGTATGACAAAGGGAAAATGAAGAAATCTGGGCAATGAGTAATGTTCTGTACCTTGACTGAGAGGATGTTTTCAAGCAGTGTTCATGTGTAAAAGTTTACCAGATGGTATAGATTAACTATGTCCCCTTGATTACACGTTAAATACACCTCAATAGAGGTGTTTAAACAAAAGGTACGTGTAGGGAGAGGAAGGATTAGCACAAACCTCAGGAAAGGGGTTATCCTGAAGAGAGACAAGTATGCAAATGAAGAATTAAAGGGCAGAAATCATGTAAGTTTCTTCACTGGCACTGGTGACAAAGTGACAACTTGTGAAGGATACCTAAAGCTTCATTTTATTGTACAATATAATGTCAATGCATGGTATATCTATTCTCTGGGTGTATCCTATCTGATAAAGACTAAAAAGTAAAGCAGTTCTATAATTCAACATAGTAAAAATTCTTTAAGATTTATTTATTTTTATTGGAAAGGCAGAAATACAGAGAGGAGGAGAGACAGAAACATCTTCTGTCCAATGATTCACACCCCAAGTGACCACAACAGTCAGTGCTGCACCGATCCAGAGGCAGGAGCCAGGAACTTCCTCCAGGTCTCCCACCTGAGTGCAGGGTCCCAAGGCCTTGGACCATCCTTGATTGCCTTTCCAGGCCACAAGCAGGGAGCTGGATGGGAAGTGGAGCTGCCAGGATTAGAACTAGCGCCCACATGGGATCCTGCCACGTTCAAGGCGAGGACTTTAGCTGCTAGGCCACTGTGCCGGGCACATAAAAATTCATAATCATTGCTTTGTCATCCTTTAATGCAAGATTCTCTGATTCATCTTGCTTTATCTGACTCAGCATTTTAATGCTCAGTTTTACACTGGTTAAGAATGCAATTTGAATCATCCGAATCAGGCTCTAACCCCCTTCTGCCATTGGGAGTCGTCCAACAGACAATGACCTAACCTCCCTACAATTCATTTGTTTCATCAATAAAATAAGAGCACTTCTCTCAGTCAGTCAATGGGCACTAAATGAGAAACACCTGTAAGGAACTGAACCACCTGAGAATTAAGCGTCATGATATATACCATCTTCTCTAATTCTTTACTTTTCTTGATGGCTCTTTAAATCACAGTATTTCACAATTATGAACATACTTATGGGTCATATGCATGTGGAATCAGACCTAAAAGCCAGTCACAAACTTGGCAAATAACCCGGGCAGCAATCAATGCTGTTAGGAGGAATCAGAGC